CAGTCTTTCCGGTCCTAGGTCAGCGTCGAGTATCCCTTCTCCTTTCGGCGAAAATTTTTCACTTGATGCAGTTAGGAGCTGGAAATTTCTCACCTCTCGTACTTCGTCCTTGTTTACTAATCCTGGCTGCGCTAAGTTTACGGAGGATCCTGTATCTAACATAAGGGATGTTTCTTTAAAATTTACCACCCCCTTGATTCGGAGAGGGCGTTTTAGGTTTAATTTTTTTCTGGTGCCATTTTCAATTGCACTTACAATTCCCAATTCCAGCTGATCATTTATAATTTTCTTCACGTGATCCGTTATTATTGCTGTTAATAATTTATTGCCTTTTTTATCAAGATCTCTGCCATTGTTATTAAATGCTGTCTTTGGTAGGTTCTCACTGTTTAGGCGAATATTTGTTAAGTCTTTCCCTGGTATCAACTGCCCTACCATGTCCGCATTCACAAGGCCAATTTTGTCATTTAGTCTGGTGACGTCATACCTTGGTAGTATTGTAGCATATGCTACGTGGTACGATTGGACCAGCTCCCTAATGCGTCCCAGTGGCATGTTATTTGTAATGGCTGAGTGATTTAGGAGGCAATATTGGCGGTCAAAATCGCGGTTTCCTGCAACTATAACTAAAATTGTTTTCCGATTTTTTTCAGGTGTTATATGATTTAGGTTATCCAATACCTCGTTCATCTCGGCTCCGGCTGAGCAAAACGTTTCGACCTTGGCAAAGGGAGTCAGCGTTTTCTTGACCTCGTCCGCTGCTCCATGCATGTGATAGTCTCCCACTATGATGACGCGTGGTTTTTCTTCTTCTTCTCGTGTGTCATCTACCAAGTTCACTGTAATCCGGGGTTTGTGTTTTGGTGTATGCGTTGTTGTCAGTTTTTCGCCGTTTTTTATAGTTCCGATTGGAGTGCCTTTCTGCAGTTTGAATGGCGATTTTGACTTATTTATAATTGTCACCAGGAAGTCTGTTTCGTTAATCATCTTCGTTTCTTCATTGGGCTCAATATCGGCGTAAGTTATCTTGTACGGGCTGAAATCTACAGATGCCCGTACGTCTCGTTGGAAGTTTGGGGCTCTTGCCGGAGCTGTTGTGACCTCTCCCGGAGCTATTTGTACGTCCATGTTTAGGTAGGCTCTGATGGGTTGTTTTGATTCTCGTGAAGCCTCTGGTTTTTGAATTACGTGAGAATCACTGGCATTCTGAGGCGTAGTTAGTTTTTTTGGTTCTTCATGTAGTCCTGGCATGCTAAAGCGGCGTGACCAGGTTTGTCGCAAATTTGGCAGCGTATTTGACTTGATTGTGGGCGCTCGCGAGATTTGTCTCTTGATGATCTGTCACGATATCTAGCAGGTGATGGTCCACGTGAATCTTTCCTGTTCCGGTTCAAGGCGCAGGATCTACTGTAGTGTCCGGTGTTGCCACATGTGTAACATATACGCTCAATTTCTTTTAGTGTACATTCGGATATTACGTGTGAGGTTTCGCCGCACCGCAAACATTGTTTCTTTTCGTTTCCTTGGACACATTCAGATGCAAAATGACCAGGCTGTTTGCACCTGTAACATAGGCGTCCTTGGCTGTGACTTACAGTTAGGCGGTTTATCGCTGCTACTATGTCATTAATGTCGTGTTTTTCTGTATCTACAAATTGGACGTGGTCCGTCTTGGTTGCCAACAGTGCTCCTATCTTCTCCATTTTCTTTTCTATTCCTCTGATATCTTGTCTCTCTGTATTTACAAGTTGAACTTGTTCCGCCTTGGCTACCAAAAGTGCTTCTATCTTCTCCATTTTCTTTTCCAGCTTGTGATACTTGCCTGGTGTTTTAGTTTTTGGCGGCTTTTCGTCTTCTTCTTCATCTTCAAATGATGTTAGGAGTTCCAGCGCTTCTTCTGCTCCTAAGAGCGTTTCTCTTAAGGCCTCTAGTGCCTTAGGTCTTTGCTCTCGGACTATTTTTTTGGGTTGTGGTAGAAGGCCTCTTTTGATATATAATACAAGGGTTTTTTCGTCTATTTCATGTGGTAGCCTTTCCCTCAGGTCAATCATGGCGTCGAAATAATCCATTGGTCTCTCTGTTAGTTTTTGTTTCCTTGAGCTAAAGGCTATGATTGCCGAACTGTCTTTTTCTGTTACGAAGCGTGCTTCGAAAGCTTCTTTGATCTCTTCCCAGGTTTTTTCGTTTAATCCATTGTTCCTCTTTTCGTTGTCGTACCAGATTCTAGCCTTGTCGCTCAGGAAATAGGCTAGGACTTTTTTGGCTGTTTCGTCGGTCCACCCGTACGCATCTTTCTCGGCTTCTAGTCGTCTGAAATGTTGGGTGAGGTTTTCCGATGTCTTTCCGCTGAAGTACGGGATCTTGAGTTTTGAAAATTCGGGTCTCTGCGCCATATCTTCTTCTTCTTCTTCTTCTGTTTCTTCTTCTTCTTCTTCTTCTTCTTCTTCTTCTTCCTCTTCTTCTTCCTCTTGATGTTCTACCCTTTGTTCTTCTTCTTCGTTTCTTTCGTCTGATGTATGCGGGAGTTGCTGCTCCTGTGTTTGGTTTTCTGGAGTCTGATGGTCGCTGAGGATTCCTGAGTCTCTTACGCTGTTTCCGCTATGAGAAGGGGTGAGTAGGGTGTTGATGGGTGATGTCTGCTCGTCGGTAGAATGCTGTGTTTGCTCGGACTGGGTTTTGTGTTTTTCTCTTATTGCGATTATGGTCTTTAGTGCTGTTCTGGCTTTGTCTACACTTGAGTAATTATAAGCATAACCCCTTTTGGCTAATTCGACTATTAATCGGTCTTTTGCAAGTCGGTATATATCGTTTGGATTACCTTTATGGTCGAAGGTAGTCGGGCGGATTTCTAATTGTTCCTCATACTCTTGTATTGACGCGTATTTAACAGAGAATGTAAGTACTCTTTTAATTTCAGTTTTCTCGCACTCGCTGGTGTTTTTGTTTAGTGTATTTTTTAAAAATAGAATAATTTTTTGTGGATCTATACGTTTCAACTCGTCTCTTATTTTATATGTTGTAATGTGGCTATCCAAATTAGTTTTGCCTTCTTGTCGGAGGAATGGTAAGATTTCGACATATGTTAGTTTGAATGAAATTAAATCTATGAGTAAATTGAAGGTATGCATTTCACGAGCATGGCACGGCACGGCATGGTTCGAGCTAGCATTTCAGCTGAAGGCTGCTAAATGTACGGTTGATCAGTGAATCTTGTACGTAGTTTGTACTAAAAAGGGGATGAAAAAGGGTGATCCAGATTTCGTAGAAAAAAAAATTTTGTATTTAAAGTTCTTTGCTGGATGGATGTGTCGAGTTGTGTTGTGACACTGCAATCGGTACGCGAAA